AGGTTGACTATTTGCTTTGTGAAGAAGAACTTTCTGTTATTAGTTTGAAGCCTGCTACCCATTCATTTCATTTGGTGTCCTCTAGTCCTTCCATTTTGGGAACTAATAAGAACTTTTCTTTATGCACCCTCTCCACACCAGTCATGCTTTTATAGACCTCTATCATATCCCCCCTCAGTCTCCTCTTTTCTAAGCTGAAAAGTCCCAGTCTCTTTATATGGGACCTGTTCCAAACCTCTGATCATTTTAGTTGCCCTCCCCTCTTCCACCCTTTCTCTTCCCCTCTCCCAGCTCCTTTTCCCAGTCTCCCCCAGTTTTGTTCAATAAAGAGAGTTTCTATTTTTGAATACACATGTCCTTTATTTGTACATCAGGAAGGGGGGCTAGGGAGGGGTAAGTGGAAGGAGGTGAGGGAGGAATGGGGTACAAGCCCCCGATGGGGAGGACTGGGCTGGCTCTGCGGGCTCCTCGGGGTGGAAGCTCTCCTGCAGCTCCCCGATTGACCCACCCCCGGGTGGCAGCCTGCGGCAAGTGAAGCCAGGATGATGGCCGAGTGCTGTGATGTGCCGAGTGTGGGCACTTAGGGCACTCCAAGCCAGGACTGCTTTGCAAGCGGGGAACCTCTGAGAACTGTCTGTCTGGGGTGGGGGTCGGGACCCTTTAAGCATAGCCCACGGCTAGCCTGAGACAGCAGCTCCACGCTCTAAGTCCTCATCTGATGCCCTGCCGGCACTGCTTCCGGCCAGCCTTCACCTCAGTTCAGGGTCCACTCAGTGTGGACATGCTAGTTCGAATTAGCAAAACGCTAATTCGAACTAGTTTTTAAGTCTAGATGCGCTAATTCGAATTAGCTTAGTTCGAATTAACTAATTCACGGCTAGCCTGAGACAGCAGCTCCACGCTCTAAGTCCTCATCTGATGCCCTGCCGGCACTGCTTCCGGCCAGCCTTCACCTCAGTTCAGGGTCCACTCAGTGTGGACATGCTAGTTCGAATTAGCAAAACGCTAATTCGAACTAGTTTTTAAGTCTAGATGCGCTAATTCGAATTAGCTTAGTTCGAATTAACTAATTCAAACTAAGTTAGTTCAAATTAGTGCTGTAGTGTAGACATACCCTAACATATTTCTTACAATACCTGATTTTAAGACTGGCCTGGAATGAAATTCTGCATCAGACTGGGCTTTGGAGTGGAAAAAAGGTGAAAAAATCTACTTCTACTTCAGACTCTTTTCCAGTGGAATAGTGGTGAAAGCACAAAACAGGATCCTGAATGAGCCTATTAAGAATTCAAATAATTGAAAGAGGCCATAATTTTACAACTGGGTGACTTTATTTAAATAAAAGCAGGAAAATATTTTGATGAAAACTTTATACTAGTGACTGAACAAAACATTCAAAATGAATCAATTAAAAAAATCTAAGGTTTCATTAGAACACATTTTGCAGTTAATAACAATTAAAGAAAGACAGAATTTCCATTAATTTTCTTTGCTAGATTGACCCAAGTTTTGTGTCTGTATTTTATTATTAAAACACACAGAAGCCTTTGGACCTGGGTACTGATAGATTACAAGAATTAGCATATAGTTGCAGTAATGCTTTATCAGGTAACATTGACATTTCCTTACCATCTGCACCCTTTCATCTCATGGTGGTGGTCACCATATAAAAACCTAAGGGTATATCTATACAGCAGAGCTAAAGTCAAATTAAGCTGCGCAACTTCAGCTACGTCAATTGCGCAGCTAAAGTCAAAATAGCTTAACTCAGCTTTTGGTGCTGTCTACGCAGCAGGAAGTGGAAGGAAGAACACTCTTCCTTTGACTTCCCTTACTCTTTGTGAAATTAGGGTTACCATGAGTCCGAGTAAGAAGTCTTTCAGCTCGACATTATTTCAAATAAAGACTTGTAGTGTAGATGCACACTATGTTATTTCGGAATAATGTCAGTTATTCCAAAACAACGCTGCTGCGTAGACATAGCCTAAGATATTCCATTTTTATACATTATTTGCCTGTTGCAAGGGGATGAATACAGCTCCTCTTAATTAGCCCCAGAAATTGCCATCTAAACACAGTTCCTAAAATGTTTACTTTTACATGATTATTTGGCTTACAGCACACACAAGTGTACCTCGTTTTTAGGAAGGTCATTCATTTTAGTTTCACAGTTACTTATATTCCATTCAAATCTGGTGCCCCCTCTCCCTTTTATTGTTGAAATTATTTGCATAATAAATAAAGAATCCTGGAACTGAGGGTATAGAAGGAGCAGTAGACACTAAATTGAATCCCACGGGGTTCTGCAGTGCTAGAATAGTTTTGTCAGCTGCTGGGGAGCTCTGCAAGGACCCTACTACCCACAGCTGAAAGACTGATATTGGTAGAAAATATTCCTGTCTCTCTTTCCATAGTGACAGCTAAAAGTATTGCAGAAATGATGTTATTTCATGAAGTGATTCTGTGTTCTTATACTTCTGAACTGTGATTCCACGGAATGCTACTTACAACAATAATGGCAAGCTCTGTGCTTTTCAACTGTCACAACTGCACAAAAGGGCATCAGCAGCACCTTTCTTTTACAACTTAGAGGTAAAATAAGACATTGGGTGGCTACATAGTGCAGGGATGGGGGTGGGGGTGGGCGCACTAGCGTTTCCTCAGTGGAGATTTAGGATCCATCTGCAGCTTACATAATAAGTGGATATGAATTCAGTTGTATTTCATCTTGGTCCCTGGTAGACATTAGTCATCATGACACAATTTGCCACACCAGACAGTAGACAGAACTATTATTTCTTCACATTCATGAGCATCAGTCATTCAATTTCAACAACAGACTGCATTAGGCCTGGTAGAACCAGGTACATGGAGCCACCCAAGTTCAATTTGTTAAAACAGGGACAGTCCTGATTCTGTTCCTAATGCCTAAGTGTTCCGTTCCCCCGTACACATTTCACTTGCTCACTGTCCAGCTGCACTCCATGGCAATAAGGCGGTATGAGGGGAGAGGCTGTCTCATCCGGACGACAGAAGAGTGCAAGTGCCTATGTGCTGCTCTTACTTTTTGGTAAAAAACTTTTGAAAGACATTCTTATCTTTCTTGTGTTTCTCCTTCTTGCCCTCAGTCGCCCGATCTTCCTTCATCTGGGTCAGTGGTGTCACTAAGTTCTTGGTCTGCACATGTTGATCCTCAGCCTTGGCGCCTGGAAAAGAATCAGTGATGCAGTCATTTTCTTGGGCTAGGGGACATAGAAATATGGGCTGATCCTCAGATGTGTGTGTGTCAAGGAGATTCTTGCTAGGACTCCCTACAAAAAAGGCTAACCTCCGCCATTTCATAGCATTATCATCCACACATTAATACTCAACTGCCACAGGCATCCTTCCCCATTGTTGATTGATAGAAGCAATGGTGATGTAACATTGAATTCCAGAGGGCTGGTAAGCCCCTTCAGTGGCCTGTTATGGGAGGGGAGAAGATGCTAGCATGAAAGATCTACTACTACCCAAAACTCTAGTGTCTTCTTCATAATGCTTCACAGTACAAGATGCGAGAAGTTCTTGTGCCATTAGCCCAAGAAGTAGCATATTTAACTTTTATTTACAGTCCTGGAAAGGACAAAGCTTTCCTACTGCAGTGCCCTCTGGTAAAAAGAACTGATGTCTCATGATAAAGTTGTTGGCTTTGTTTGCTATTGCTTTAGTATAACTGAGTGCATGGGAGAGCACACGGAAGAAAAGCTGATAATTTTTCTGTTTGATACACTTCGCAGCTGCAGAAATGTAAGAACTGTGAGCAAGCCCAACAAACAGTGCAATGAGACTACAAACGGACTTTGTGAAGACACTAGGTGTTGCCTTCAGCTTTCATCACTCCTCAAGGATTCACAATAGGGTTCCAAGTCGATCTAGGTTCCCACCAGAATGACGTGAATGTAGTACTGTATTACCCCAGCTTAGTGAACTCTCTCTGGAGAGATTTCAGGCACCTGGATTTTCTTTTTGAGCTTCTGCTCTCAGTGTTTACAATGGCAGTTTGATACGCCACTAAAAATGACTTAGGGGACAGTTGCTGTATTTAAGTGTTCTGTGTAATCTGCCCTAGAAAGCAGTAATAAGGAGCTAGGAATCAAAAAGCTAGTTTTAATATTTTGTAAACATAAAGGCTTAGGGGACACTCTGCAACGCTTGCTGATAGTGACAATTGCCTAAATCTAGCTGTAGGGATTATATGGCAAATTTTAACTTGAATCATAGAATACTAGGACTGGAAGGGACCTCGAGAGGTCATCTAGTCCAGTCCCCTGCCCTCATGGCAGGGCCCAGTACTGTCTAGACCATCCCTGATAGACATTTATCTAACCTACCCTTAACTAGGTTATCTCTGTAACAATTAGAGTCTAGATACTCCAGTGTGAGAACAGGTTTACCTCCCCAAAATAAGCAGTTAAATCAACTGGCTGCATGCAATGTTAATGTATGGTAAAAAAGAACAAGCACAGCCTTTTATGAAAGCTTGTAATGTTTTAAACAATCATTATGAGATACGTACACAGGTTATGGTTATGAATTTATGTATTTGTATATGTAGAAAACTACCCTGCAATTTCAGTGCCACTTCACATCAGGGCAATGAGTAGTCACACAGGAAGGAACTCCTCCCAAAGCGTCTACATGAAACCAGTTTGAAGTAACTAGCCATTTTACATCTTAGGTAGGGACACTGGAGGCCCATTAGAATTAATGGAAAAACATTGTGGCAATTGGAAACTTAAAAAAAACCCAGAAAGAAGGTAGTTTTTCCCTACTCTGAATACCTATAACGACTGAAGGGGAGGAAACAACAACCAACAACAACCTTGGAAGCCCTTTTAAAATGGAAAGGGTTTGAACCAAAGACCATCCAGAATTTGGTGGGCAGCCTTGAGGTGGGGGCTGTCTATAAATGCTGGATTCTGCCTATAGATTGAGAAACTGTTTTAAGGCAAAAAGTAACTCGCATTAGAAAAGCGATTTTATTTAATATGACCGTGTAGACTATGAGGTTATTTCTTTATGTTTATTTTCTTTGTAACTTGTTCATATGTGTTTTCCCTTACCATTTCATCTTTGAATCCATGCATTTTCTATTAAATACATATTTTGTTTATTTTCACCTCAGGCAGGTCTCCAGTGGGTAAACCATAAATATCATGTGGGTTAATGTGAATTGGTTCTGGGGGGCTGGTTTCTCTGCTTTGGGAGTGACCAAACAGAGAGGAAGAGGCAAAGTGTCTGATAGTTGAGAACTCAGGGAGGATGTATTTGGGGAGTATCAGAACTAGAAGCGTTTTTGGTGTCACCCTTCAAAGAGTAACGAGCCTGGTAATTGGCTGGGGGAGACCTTATGCTTGTGGACTGGGCACTCATGTCAGTGAAGTGAACCATAGCTGCACAGCACAAACACCCCCAAGATTACAGGGCAGTTGATGACAGGCCCCCTTCCAGGTCTGGATAGTCCCCAAAGGTTACCACCTCTTCTTCCTGACTTTTGCTATATGAATTGAATCTACTCTTATTTAACCAGCAGAACTGTTTCTGATACAGACAAGACTATTTGCAGCTGGATGTTACTCATTCACAATTACATCCTGTTTTCTGTCCTGCTCATTTAGTGCCAGCAACAGGCCTCATTTCCTTCCCCACCTCTTTAATTACATTGCACTGTCCTGATCAGAGCTCCCATTATACGTCTGTAGAGTGTGTGTGTGTGTGTGTGTGTGTGTGTGTGTGTCTGTCTGTATTGGGGGTAATCAATGAAAGAGTCCATAGAAGGTAGAGAAGAGGCATCTGAAATGAGCTCTTTAATGACCATATGTGAGAGAGAGAGCACAACATCCGGAGATCAGCTATGTCATGCTGTTCACTTTCAGGGTTAATTCTGTAGTGAGGCATCTGGGAATATGCAAAACTGTTCCATGTTGTTCAGATGGGTTGCCCACAGTTCATACCTGACCACCCAATCCCATTCATTTATCAGAGAGAACTAGGCTTTCAGATGCCCGTTGAAAGGATAAATACCGAAAAAACCCCATATGTCGGTATTTCCACATCCAAACCAACATTGAAGAAGAAAAATATAGAATAAACTCTCCTCACATTTTCCTTATGGATTCCCTTCATTCACCAAACAGGTCAACACTATTTCTGGCATGAAAAAAAACCCTACCTTACAGTTAGCTAGCATCTTTACTCCAGAAGAATCCACAGCACTTCACTAACATCTCAGCTCTTACATTTAAAGTGGAAAGTAGCAGCTACTTTTAAAGAGTGTGCAGTAACACTACACAATCTTAATTTGGACCTCCTAATGAATATGAGTTGTGATGCAATATTTAATTATTCAATCACACACTCCCCCACAAATACAGAACCCCTGCCTCATTCGGTGCCTAGACTGGACGGTGCTCAGACAGTATACATCTATTCAATGATGAGAAAAAGACTCTAGGAGTGAAACCAAAACATAGGCAGACCTATAGCATATGATCAACTAAAATAGGCATCTGGGGGAAATGACAACATCAAAATGTATCTGTAAATTCCTAGAGAAAGTGAAAAAGCAGAAGGATCAGTGTAAGACATAACAGGGAAGGGTGTGGTGTGTACATTGTGTGATGCTGCCAACCTTTTCCTAATTCTACATTTTTAAACATGTTTTCTCAATCTCAGTGCAGGTCGAGCTTCTCTAGTTGGGTACTCTCTGGTCCAGCAACTCCATGGTATGGATTGATTTGAGTTAGCCAGATGTCCATTTATCATGGTTTGGCCAAGTTTCCCACCATCCCATAAAGTTTGTTTACAGCCACCAGTCCTGGCTCTCAGACTTTGTCTACACTACAAGTTTTTGTGGCAGAGAGTATGCTAACGATGGACTCATTAGCATGAGTCGCAATGTCATTAGCATAACTGGCTACACTGCTTCTTTTAGCGCAAAACCCCTTGTGCAAAAAGCATCCGCGGATAATATGCTAATGATGTCACAGCTCATGCTAATGAGTCTGTCATTAGCACACTCTCTGCCACAAAAACCTTGTAGTATAGACATAGCCTCAGTGTTCTGTATTGTTTGGGTATGTCTACACAGCAGTGTTAATCTCAAAATAAGCTATGCAACTTGAGCTATGCTAATTGTCTGTGAATTGTTGCTAATTGTTGTGAATTCAGGCACGTGTACACAGGACTTTTTTCAAAATAGAGCTCTCTTCCTCCAACTTCCCTTCCTCCTTGTACAATGAGGTTTATAGAAGTCGGAGTAAGGAGCCCATTATTTCCAATTTATTTCAAAATAATGGGCTTGCTGTGTAGACGCGCAATAAGTTATTTCGGAATAACATCCATCATTCTGAAATAATGTTGCTTTGTAGATGTATCCTTATTTAGCTCTAATTTACCCCTAAATGTATTTAGGGGAAGTGTTGGTAATGCTGCTAGGAAAATCAACCTCCTGTGGCTCAGCAAATTCTATGGTTCAGCACTGGTCAGGTCCCGAGGTTGCTGGACTAGAGAGGTTCAACCTGTATTGTGCTTCTCACAGAGATCAAGGCAGAACCTCTTATTACCCATGTTTGCAGGGTCCCGGGCAGAGGTGGAGGTTGATATCTTCATAATCTCAAGAGTGTCTTCCTCTGATTCTTTGGGAATGTTTTCCGCTTCTCTCTCTTGCCTGACATTGAAGGAAGGAGTTTTCCTGCCAACAGATAGCACCAAGAGAGACTCACTGATATGTCAGACATGAATTAAATCAGTAAGTAAGAATATTGGGGAAAAATCCAATCATGCAACCATTTCAAAAGCAAAATAGCCACCGGACACAATAGATGTATTATACATGCATATGCATATTAATATAGCCAGTCTGCAACACAGAATAGGAGCAACTTTGCAAAACGTACCTACCTGCTCACCTCTCATTAATTACTTTATTTGAAGGACAAATAAAATATCAGTAATTATTTTATCAACATTCATCCAATTGAATAATGGGGGTAAACAGATTTTGTGACTGGGCTCAAAATATTCTTGATAATTTTGCAAGTCTGATAGTAGTCACTAAGTTTGGGCCACGTCTTTTGGTTCCATTTATTGGAATGGGAACATCTGTGTTTGCAGTGCAATTGCAGCAGGTACTCATTGACAATTTATACAGTAAAACTCCGATAGTCTGGCATCCAACTGTTCAGCACTCCCGATACTCCGGCATCAAAATGCCAAGCGCTCCTGACCAGCTGATTAAAAAGCCTGCCGCTCAGCACACGTGCTGGCTGTAACCAGATGGAGCATAAGGTTGGGGGGGGGGGGGGAGTGGGATTGTGTTACAGTATGGAGAAGAGCGTTTTGCTTCAGTGAAGGCAAAAGGGGAAGGGAGAGGCAGAAGGACCAGGTTACAATACGGAGGAGACGCGAAGAGGAAAGGGGAGGGGAGAGGGAGGGAGATTGTGTCCTGGCCAGCTGTTAAGCCGTGCAGCTGTAGCGGATCTCCTGATTCTCCGCCAAATCTGATAATCCGGCACCACCTAGGTCCAAAAGGTGCCGGATTATCGGAAGTCTACTGTATAAAGAGAAGAAGGATGGTCTTGTGCTTCAGGCACTGCACTGGGACTTAGATCTTCCTTCACTTCCAAGCTCTGCAGTAGACTTCCTGTGTGACCTGAGGTAAAGTCACAATCTCTCTGTGTCTCAGTGCCTCACTAGTCAAAAAGAGGGGAATAATTCTTCCCAACCCCCAGAGGATTTTCAAGAATAGACTCCTAAAGACTGGTTGGGTTACTATTGTGATGGATGAAGGCAGACTCTGCAATTCTCTGTTAAAAGTTAGTAAAATCTCATGGTGTCTAGACTACATCCCTCATTCAACAGAGGGATGTAAATTAGGCTCTTCGAAATTGGAAATGAAGCCGGGATTTGAATTTCCAATGTTTCATTTGCATAATTGCATCATGGCGCTCTTTCAAAAAAGTGCTATTTTGAAAGTAAAACTGCAGTCTAGACATGGTTCTTTCGAAAAAGGCTTCTATGTTCGAAAGAACCATGTATAGACTGCGGTTTTACTGTTGAAATAGCACTTTTTCGAAAGAGCGCCATGATGCGATTAATTAAATGAAGCACGGGAAATTCAAATCCCAGCTTCATTTGCAATTTCGAAGTGCCTAATTTATATCCCTCTGTCAAAAGAGGGATGTAGTCTAGACGTACCCTCTGGCAATTACAATATTGCCGTTCTAACCACACTAACAGGCATGAGGCAGTGAGTTGCCTTGCAAAACGTAAGGAGTCAGAAGGGACAAACAAACTGTTCTTTTTGGTTTCCATGACACTGCATGTGCTATAGCATTCCAGGAGCCTATGGGTCCTTCCAATACAGTAGAGGCTGTTTTCACATCACAACTTGTGGGATTTCTGCATACTCCACGTGCAGCAGAAATGGATTTATACCTTGGGCCAGATTTTCTTTCATAGAAACATAAACAATATGTTCAAATGCTGCATTTGGATTCTCAGATTCACACTTGAATATGTAAAGCGACCATTGTGCTCTCATTTTAGTTCATCACTGCAGGGGAGGATTTGGATGACTTTTTTAAGCACCATTATATGAAAATGGCCATAGGCATTCTGTAAGTGTCAAACATGGACTGGAGCAGGGAAGTTATTGCATAATATAGTCCCAGGGGCTGTGTGCTACTGTAATAGTGAAAACTGAGCTGGTCTTTTAAATACCATGCCTGTCTATCTGGCATCATCCTGTATTTGAACACTGCCTAACTACAGGCAAGAAGGAAATCAGACTCTCTCAGCAGTACACGGTCCCCACCTGGGTAGCAAGCTTCCGCTGGTTTGTCTTTTAGCAGGCTCTCCATCTGGGAAGCTCCAAGGTCCTGTCTCAGGGTTTTTGATATTTGGGGTGACTGGTTGCACCTCTACTTTAGGATCTTGCTTGTGGCCTGCAGAGTCAAAGAAAATACAAGAAACGTGTTTGAATCATAACGAGAGGCAGAGTCAGGGCTCATCTAGACTATGCTAAAGTGTCGAAAGAGGATATGCAAGTTCTGCGGGAATTTGCATATCTTCTTCCGATATCACTTTTGAAAGTGGAGCTTTTGAAAGCAAAAGTAGTCTGGACGTGTTTTTTCAGCCACCTCCTCCTCTTTTCTGAAAAGCCGCGTAAACCTCATTTTTTGAGGAAAAGCGTTTTTTTGAAAAAGGGGGGGGGGAGTTGCCGAAAAAAATGTGTCCAGACTACTTTCATTTTCAAAAATGATATCGGAAGAAGATATGCAAATTCCTTTTGACACTTCAGTGTAGTCTAGACTTAGCCACACTTATTGCTACACCCACTGCATATTTCTCTGAGCTGCACGTATCACTACATACCTGCCCTTTTTCATGATGCCACAGAAGCCACCACTGCTTCATGAGGTTTTCAGAATAGGGGCTGGCCCCACAAGAGAGCAGCCAAGAGCCACGGCCCTGTCTACATGAAGGCTGGAAAAATTTAAGCCATTGAGCATTTCTACCCAGTGAGTAGCTTGACTCGACACATTACAACTGAGATGCTGCTTTTAGTGTCACTTTGGGGACTCTGTTGGAAGGTCCCCAAGGGTACCCTTATGCTGCAGTTAAAAACCCACAAATGGCCCATGATAGCTGGCTCAAACCAATAGGACTTGGACTAAGAGGCTGTTTAACTGCAATGTAGAGGTTCAGGTTTAGGCTTGGGCTGTGGCCTGGGCTCTTGGACCCTGCTGGGTGGGAGGGTCTCATAGTTCAGGCTGGAGCCTGAACCAAAATGTCTACACCACAATTAACAAGCCCTTAGCCTGAACCCCACAAGCACAAGTCAGCTGGCATGGGCCAGCCAAGGGTGTCCAGCTGCAGTGTAGACTCACCATTCATATTAGCTGTCAAGTGCTTCGGAGTGTGCCATTATCTACGGGTGGCACACGGGGATCCTAAAAATTTGTTTGCCAAAAATACGTGGAAAAGAGTGTGCAATTATCTACGAGTGGCACACGGGGATCCTAAAAATTTGTTTGCCAAAAATACGTGGAAAAAGAGGGAATTTGCAGCTTTTACAGAGAATCTTTAGTTTTTACATTTTGTGAAAAAAATAAAAACATATTAACTATGAACTAAATGTTACTGAAAGTACCAGCGTCATTTAATGTGCACAACCTCCCCTTCTTGGGGTTGACTTTTGAATGTGCTTTAAATGTACATAACTAAGCATACCCCAATGAACTGCTTCTGGTGTCTAGAGGTTACTCAGTAGTATTTCTGGGTTCATATTTCCAGGTTCATGTTTCCAGACATGAGGAATTGCAATTATGAAAAGATGCCAAAAACTTTCAAAATCACTGCTAAGGACAGAGTTTGGCAAGAACAAATTTAAAACATTTAAAGGACAAGCTTCATATGAAGGGACAGCTTGTGATTTCAACATCCATTAGTTTCTCTCCCCTCCTGTTATCATCACTACTAAAATAAACAAGCAGTCCTTAAAAATGAATGATGACCTACCTATATCACTTCTAAATGCCCTTATCCATTCCTCCATCAGCTTCTGTGAAGGTGCTGCAAAGTAGTATTCTGCCCCATCAATCAACCTATGAAGAACAGGGATAGGAGAAAGGGCATTGAAATTAGTCGAAGCTTTTACATTATTGTGCAGTGGAGATAGGCAGGAACAATAGTATCTGCAAATTCCTATATGGACAGCCCTCTTCAGCTTTTCCACACCACAACTTTTTTGGAGATAGGCTTGAACTAGTGTGACTGCAGGTAGCTGCAACATGGCAGAGCAGCCATATATGTTTCGCTTGCAGGTCTATGCATATGATTTACCGTAAACTAAAGGTGTTCTCTTTCCTGGCATAGTTAGTCAGCCTCTCACAGTTGGCACCGGCAACACTGATTGATGGGATTGTGGTTAAGTTCTGTAAGAGGAAGAGATTACAATGAATAGCCCTTTTAGGAGTCAGTCTCACCCACACTTTGACTGTGAACACATCCCGATATGATCATTCATGGTGTTTCTATCACTGTAACTTTGTCCCCTGGTAGAAAAGATCATACAATAACGAGCTGGTATTTCATTGTGATTTGAAGGCACTAATCAAACAATAATGCTCAATACAGCTCAGAAGCCCTTTTCTCAACTTCGTAGCTGAAACCTGCACCAATCAGGCTATAAGCTTTGACAAACTGATTCATGAAAGACTTAAACCCCCTTCTAATGAAAACCAAATGTGTCTAATATACTGTGTTTTCTTTTTAAAAGAAATTGGGATATTAGAATGGAAAAAGAGGGAATGAATCTTAAAGCATCTTTGGAGATTCAAGAAACAAATGACCTTGGACGCTTCCTTTTCATCAATGTAGAAGTCAAGTTTTTGTTTGTTGAGTTTCACATAATAGGTGTTCCAAGACCTTGACCTTGGCTACATGAAAGAAGACGAAAATAAAATGTAATCAGTAATGATATTCTCAGTTATATCAGTAACATTTCGATATTGAGCTTCTAGCCATGCCTGAGACTGTGACCTCATCAGCTCTCATGAGCCAAGAATAGTCAGCTGAAGTTATTTCCAAGGAAAACCCTACATACCATAGGAATTGGTTTTAGTAATTTTCTATAAATGGATCCACATAAGTCAGTGCTGACATCTTTTTGAGGGGGTGCATGAGGTAAGAATTCACTAACATCGTTAATTTAATTTGAGGTTGTACCACTTAATAGGGTGCCACTAGATTATCTCTCACATAGGAAATAAAAACCAAGTGTGGATTTGCTTAACACAGGCTAAAAGTTTCCAATAATGAATTATTTCTTGGGAACAAATAGTGTAAGAGTCCTGTCTATGTCCAATGCCCACATAGCTGCTGATAGCAAACATTGAGGCTCTGGTAGATGGTGATTGAGAAAACCTGCATGGAAATTTCCCACCTGTGGTAAAAGTATCACAGTTATTTCACTGATGCCAGCTCTGACCTGGAATTGGAATTTTTGTTTCAGGGTAAAAGGGGAACTCAATTTTCGAGTCACCCCCAGACATGCTGAAACTATCCCACCAATTTACTACCCAACCATCAACCAGAAGAAATACCCTCCACTAATATGATCAGAAATTAATATCCAAGTTCATTAAATTAGAGGCTCTTTCTGCCATTGAACTTCACTTTTTTGGAATTGTGCCTGCATGTTCGCTTAGTCTCAAGTTCCACCAAGTGCTCTTCAATGGGAATTAACTCTGAGCTGGAAGATCCCCCTGAGAAGTGAATTCAGACATCTTGTTCATTCCAGCCTGGACCCAACACCCACTGAAGTCAATGGGAGTCCTTTCACTGGTTTTCACGGGAATTCATTCAGGCCCTCAGTTCTGAGAGACTCACCAGTGAAGATTCACTCCCCTCCCCCAAGTCAGGTTCTGTAGCTATTTGGTCATAATGCAAGGGATCATGGCTGAACGTGACGTGAGAGCATTAGATTCTACCTGCTTCCTTTCTGGAAGGCGCTGGTCCCTCTTTTCTAGTAACCCCTCCATGGTCTGTTGACTTACAGAAGCCTGAAATACACAAGGATGTTACATTTCTACTTTGAAGCAGTCTTTTAATGTGTCAAAACTGCAGAAGCAACAGCAAGATACATCCTGAGCAGGGGCCATTGCTTTCCCTTAGCCTTTGCTTTTCTATGCTCCTGAAAGCCCTCTGTAGATCGCATTCACAAATCTAGTGCCTGAATGAAGAAGTTCCAGGTCTACCCTGAACAATCTGCTCATATGATTAGCTTCCCACATTATACCAAAGATTTCTTTCCCAGTCTACATATCACTTTCTTGGATACTGTATTTTGTGGGGTAATATAATATGACTATATGGAAGAATCTTAGCAATTATATTTTATATAATGCTTAGATGTGACTCTGAATCAATCATTCTCAAAATATTTTACTCTGATTGCTGTCATCTAGCTCCTGCCTCATGGTCTCCCCAGGAATCTGATTCTGGCACTGTGTGGTAGAAGAGACTGCTGGAGAAAAATAACTGTTTTATAGTTTTGGATGCTAATTTGCACTATTTGTGCTATAATTTTTAAATAAAACATTTTCAATTAAATTACCATAGTATTTTACATTACATATGCAATACATTCTTTAAATATATTTCAGTAACACTTTATTATGCTGTTCTGAAATGTCTGGGGATCTATATCATGACCACTACCATTCCACCTTGTTAAACAAGCATAACATAACATAAACAGGAGTTCCTTGAAAACCCTCACATGGTCTCTCTTAATGTATACCTATATCCGCCAGTACTAGTCTGTCCAGTTATTATAGTTCATCAGTGTAATTTTACAATAAACTTCAATTAGTTAACCTATTTCTTTAAATAATCTGCATTGTCAATATCTTCTCGTATACGATTCCCTCCATTTTATTTAGCATTCCTGTTGCCTTAGTTTGCACTTGCTGCCTTCTATTATCACATTTCTGCATTCCAATAAGGTAACAAAACTAGGACACTGCATTCAAGATATAATCTCAGGATTTCCATGAATATTATGCTGCTGCTTAATGATTTACATGCTATAACCCTCTTAAAATAAATCAAGCCAACATCCCATTAGCTTTCTTTACTGCTGTTGCAAAAAATAATCCGTTAATTGTTATTTGGCAATTTGTGTTATAGCATCATCATTTAGCATCCAGAAATGCTAAATTGCACAGAGATGAGATAATAGAGTAAAAAGCAACCACAGTGTAATATAGGTTGTACAGGTAGCAACACCTATAGTTCCTGTTCCCAATATTTTTCATACAATTAATCTGTTTTAATGTGCTCATAACTTTGTTAAACTGTAATCATTCAGGCTGAGGTTTTTCATGCTGGGTGGCAGAAGCTTTTGGAAAAATAATAAAACCAGTTAAGCTAGTCTCAAAATTAGATATGTGAAAAACATATCGTTTCACTCATTATTTTAAAATAAAAATCTAAAAATAAGCATCAATATTATCCAGCTACATGATATAACAAACTCTCAGATTCTGCCAATGACTATGCACAAAGGGGCTAGATTTAAGTTGCACACACCACCTTTATTTGTTCTCTAAAGTTAATTGAAAATTGTCCAGTGAATCAGATTTTCAATGAAAAAAGCTGATTAGACAGAACTGATTTGGTCAATATTTTCTATGAAAGTTATTGAAATGAGTCGTTTCATTTTTTTTTTCATTTTGGGATGAAATGACATCAAGAAATCTCAAAATTTCCAATAGGATGGAAATTCCATTTTCTGTCAGCACTAGTTCTGGCATCTTTTAACTTCTGAAAGCTTAGTTTGCCACCTTAATAAAGTTCTTTAATGTAATAGCACATAGAAACTTTACCGTTAAAACTTGTTCTAACTGGCTGTATAATTAAATCAATATTCTTTTTGTGTGTCAGTATCCTTTAATCTTATATGTGTGTGCAGTCAAATCAGGTAGCTACATGCAAAATATAAAATACTCAAGGCATAAGATTATCTAGTTTGGCACTCACTATTTGTACAAACAAATGAGAGGTTTAGAGGATGCAGCCAGGTAAATGTGTTTTCAAAAGCAAAAAAATCTGGTCCTATTTCTTAATATTTGCATTTTTTCAGTTAAGCTGGTCTACTTAGAATGCTTTTTGTTATTTATTAAAGTGAAGAGTGATATATGACGAGGAATATTTTCTGGGACATAAATTCAGCTAATATATTACTGGACAAGATTTAACCAAACAATTTCATCATGGGGATTAGATATCATGCCAAGAATGTGAAAGAAATTTTCAGTCAAAATAGATGCATCTTGGCTTTTTTATGAGCAACATACCTCCCTTAGAGTAGAAGAGAGAGAAACACTTATTGCCATATTAGGTAACAGTAATGTCTATAGAAGTGAGGCATCTGAAAAGTTTCCAGAGATGGAAGGTAAACAACTACTTTACATCACTATCTTTCTGGATAATTAAGTATGTATATTGCACAGGCACATTGAGGCTATGTCTAGACTGCAAGCCTCTTTCGAAAGATACTTTCGAAAGAGCCTCTTTCGAAAGAGAGCGTCTAGACTGCACGCGGAACTTTCGAAAAAGCAAGCCGCTTTTTCGAAAGAAAGCACCCAGTGAGTCTGGATGCTCTCTTTCTAAAAAGCCTGTTTGCTTTCAAGAACGCCTTCTTTCGAAAGAGCACTTTCGAAAGAAGGCGTTCTTCCTCGTGGAATTAGGTTTACCACCGTCGAAAGAAAAGCCGCATTCTTTCGATTTAATTTCGAAAGAACGCAGCTGCAGTCTAGACGCAGGTGAAGTTTTTTTGAAAAAAGGCTACTTTTTTCGAAAAAACCCCTGAGTCTGGACACAGCCTAAGTGTTTCTTGCTGTTTGGATCTACTAGGGATATATGTGCATATGGTCAATCTTAGTAGTTTTCTCACACTCTGTAAGACAGAGGTCTGGGTTCTGCTTCAATAAGATGACTGTAATGGTTCTGAGAATGTTGATGAACTTACCAAAGGGTCCTTTTCAGATCTGTCAAGAGAGGAAGTGGATTGTGGTAAATGTGAAGAATCATCTAAGGAACTTTGGCTAGACCTAGGTGGAGTCTTCACAACTTTTATTTCTGGGTTAGAAATGAGGCAACTGCTCAGGTTTTTCTCATGGGGTGATAAGAGATCTTTGGAATAGGGTTCTAACAAGCTGCTGGCAGGCTGTCTGTTTACTGGACTGGGAGGAGGGATGTTGCTTCCTAGGGAAGTGACTTGCAGGCCCATCAGTTTTGGGGTAGGTGGAGTGTTAATCTCACTGAGCCTTTCCGCAGTTTTTGTTTTTTCATTGGTGCCAGGCAATATCTTTGGGTTTTCTGTGCTCCCAAATTGCTGGAATGCTTCTGTGGACTTTTGGACTGGAGAGACAATAGTTTCAAGGGGACCCCTCAAGGTGAGGCTGGGTGAAGAAGATAGAGGTGGCAGTGGTCTGGTTCTCTTTATCTCTATCAGCCTTGAGGAGGGCGTCCTTCTGTCTGAGGGCTTCCTTCTCAGAGATGGGACCCTCATGATTTTCCCTCTCTCCTTTTGCTCATTCTTCTCAGTATCAATCTGCTTCAGTAGCTTCATTTCCCTCTGCAAAATACAAGGGTTACATGTATATGATATGATCTGTAAGTGCACATGTAAATTGAACTGAGGATTACTTTCAGATGCATTTTCTACTGGTATTGGCCTTTATAAAAAGGTGTCTGACAGCACAGAGCCCACTTTCTTCTATGGATTCCCAGCCCTGGGAACTATAAACAGTTATCTGGAGTATTGCGTCCCTCCCACTATAGAAAGGACGTGGACTCATTGGAGAGGGTCCAGCGGAGGGCAACCAAAATGATTAGGGAGATGGAGCACGTGACCTACGAGAAGAGGCTGAGGGATTTGGGATTATTTAGTCTGCAGAAGAGAAGAGTGAGGGGGGATTTGATTGCAGCCTTCAACTTCCTGAAGGGAGGTTCCAAAGAGGCTGGAGAGAGGCTGTTCTCAGTAGTGACGGATGGCAGAACAAGGAGCAATGGTTTCAAGTTACTGTGCGGGAGGGGTCTAGGTTGGATATTAGGGAAAACTATTTCATTAGAAGGACGGTGAAGTACTGGAATGGATTACCTAAGGAGGTGGTGGAATCTCCATCCCTAGAGGTTTTTAAGTCTTGGCTTGACAAAGCCACGGCTGGGTTGATTTAGTTGGGATTGGTCCTACTTTGGGCAGAGGGCTGGACTTGATGACCTCCTGAGGTTTCTTCTAGTCCTGTGATTCTATGATTCTAGAACCTTGTAATCCAAACTATATTGTCATCATCTTCTTCTCAGCGGCTCTTCCTAAGATCTCAGCCTTCCTTGTTTCTCTCCTGCTCTCAGCAGAGAACCAACTCCCAGGTCTGCTCTTCCCAGTCTACCTAGTCCTTTCTAAATTACCTTCCCCTTTTATTTTCCCAGTGGGTCTTCTCTGAGGGTATGTCTAGACTACATGGCTCAGTTGACGGAGCCATGTAGATGAGTTTACTAGACATGGAGTGTTTCTGTTCTGCCCTGCACTAGGAACACAGTGGTAGGTAGACTGCTGCTGCATCACAGAACTACTCATGGAGCTACTCATGGGGCTCCTCGTGAGGCTCACAGAACTACTCATGGGGTACGTCTAGACTAGTTCCATGAGGCATACCAGAGTGGTCAACAAAGGCTTCCCTTGTCAACCGCGGCGCGTCCAGACTACCTCGCTGTGCCGCCAAACAGCTGATCGGCACAGCACGGCAGCCATTTTGATGTAAATGAAGCGGCATTTATTTAAATCACCGCTTCATTTTCCTATGTCTAGTAAAGTCATCTACATGGTCCCGTCGACGGAGCCATGTAGTCTAGACATACCCTGAGTGTCCCGATCCTTTATTATTAATCTCCACATCAGGAAGTAAGCTGAATTTAGCACAGGAGAAGCTGATCCCCAACCTCCTAAAATGGCCATCTCGCCACATCACAATCCCCTGCCTCATTTACTAATTCAATAGTCTTCCTCCCCCTCACCTTTGTCTTCCTGTTCAGCTGCCCAAACTTCTCCTCTTGGGCTGCAAGTATCTTTTCAAAGTCCTGGTGTTTCTTTAGCAGTTCCTCTACATCGGACACTGAATCCTGAGTGGAGAAAAATCAACAACAGAGACAGGAATCCAGTGAAGCAAAAATAACTGTTCCTGAAAAGACTATGATGGAGGTTTTTGAGGCAAACAAGTACATTTAGTGACACGGCTTCCTTTCACATTACTGGGAGTCTGTGGTCAAATCCACTAGCTGGCTTTGAAAATCTCAGCCTACACTTCTAAAAAGAGTGGTTTCTGAGCTAACTGTGGCACATGAAAATAAAGGCTCAGCTGATAAGAGTTATTTCTCCCCAGCTGCTGGCTTTGTCAGCTATGGGAACTTCTGCTGGTACCCAGCAGTACAGCCACCGCTGGAATGCAGTATCTCTCACAGTGTGCTGATCTTCTGTAAGAGTCGCTATTCATTTAAAAATGCTGCAATTTGTGTGAAACTTCTCTCCCTCCTTGTCCTCTGAGCTATGGACCAAAGGCCCTGCAATATCACTACCAGCCTAGCTTGCATAAGGCATCACGATTGCCACGTGGTATCCTGGCTGCTACAGTGTAGTCAGCGGTACCCATGTTAAATGCTGGGCTAAAAGTTTATGCTAAACACATGGTTTACACCCATTTTACCCCTTGCCCACAACCACTGCAGGGATCCCACAACTCATCCTCTTTTGCCCCTGCATTGGGTCCCCATACCCAAATGTGTGGCAGTGTCATTCCACTACTCAGCAACCATAATATTGTCATTAAGGAGGAAAAACCTGTTGAAGCTGATGCAAGAAAGGGATTTCTAGGGCAAGCTTAAAAAGCCACCTATGCCAACACCCCACTCTCAAAACAGGAATAGTCACTTCACTTCAAACCAGGCTCTCCTTCATACAATGGAGCATTTTTGCAGATCCCTGACTAGGCTAAGGAATGGGTAGGAATTCTTCACAATTTTCTCTCCCACCAGTCACTACCCCACTGGTTACTTTTCCTGCCCGAGGCTAAGCCCTTTAAAAGGACATAACACCTACCTTTTGAGAATCCCAAAGCTGCATCAGTCAGCCATTGATGTGTTGACTGGCTATGTCTATACTGCAGGCTTTTTGAGCAAGAATGGCTGTTCTTGCACAAAAACTTGCAGAGCGTCTACACTGCATGCGAGTTCTTGAGCAAGTAAATTTACAGTACAGCATCGGAAAATAGGGCTTCTTCTGGAAGAGTTATTCCTCTCCCCATGAGGAATAAGCCCACTTGAGCACGAGCTCTCTCACAAGAAGGCAGTGTAGACAGGCAACATGAATTTCTTGCGCAAGAAACCCCTATGGCTAAAATGGCCATCAGAGCTTTCTTGTGCAAGAGAGTGTCCACATTGCCAAAGGACGCTCTTGCGCAAAAGCACATGGCAGTGTGGATGTGCTCTTGTGCAAGACCTTATGCACAAGAACTCTTGAGCAAACAGTTCTTGCACAAGAAGCCTGCAGTGTAGACGTAGCCACTGTGATTAACTTAAGACACAATGTCTCAGGGTGGGGTTGCCTGAGATGGTACACAAATAGTCTGCCTGTACAAACAGACGTTTTATTCTGTCCTTACTCACCCCATAGCTGCGATCTGAGAGAAAGCTCTCCTTGGCATTCAGCCATGCCTCTGCTTGCTCCAGCTCTCGCCGTAGTAATTGGATCTCCCAGTTTTCCTCATACAGCTCTTTCCTCACTTCCCAGCTCTCCCTCACCTTCTGCATCAGCTCCGAAAGCTCCGACAGCTTTTCCTCAATCTAGAAACACAACATTTACAATGTAGGGAGATAAAAGAGCCAGTCAGGGTTTCATCTGACAGCCATCTAACTTATAAACTGATAATGTGACCCATCTTGGATCACCAGAGAACTTTGTGGTCCAACCTAATTTAGAAAGGAAGTTTGAGTCTGTCTTTTGCCTCCCAGAATTAATTATCTAACCACATACTAAATTCTATATCTGCATGTGTACTCCATGTACAGCAGAAACAGTACTTTGCTATATATTTTTCCATAGCTATACTTAACTCAGAGGTTGCAGTTTGTAACCTATAGTACTGAACTAAGGATTAATTCCTCTGGCTATGGCATGACAACACTGATTTAACTTTTAATACTAATGGAAAACAGTCTAGGCCTGTCTGCAGCAAAGTTTGCAACAGAAATGGGATCTTCCATAAATTCCAAAGATTCTTTTAATTTCATGATCTCCAGATCAAATTACAATCTCAAGCCAAACTGATCATTGTAAAGGTCAAGTTCTGAAGTTACATAGGATCACAGGTTTTTTTCAAAGTTATTTCTCACCCTTGTATGACTTCTGAAGAATGTCATGTTCTCTGAAGTGTTCACAGCATCACCCACTCAGTATTTGTTCTGCACTGTATTTACATTCTATCGTCTCCCATTTCTCGTGCATTTGGACAATAAGATTTAAGGGATGGTATTTGTGTGGCTCATATTCTCCATAGTATAGTGTCATATAGACCCACAGCACAGCATAAACCACCAAAAATATTTCAATCTAGGTATGGCTGTAATTTTACAGGTTAGCTTCAGAGTCAATTTTGAAGGAGACAGGAACAAATCTAAATGGGGTTCCACTTATTCAGATCTCTATGTAAACTTTGTCTTCATATTTAATATTAAAGACCCTAGTTTTCCTATCTAGCTGCTCCATTTTGAAGGGCAGAGATATGTAATAACCCCTGAAAGGCATGAGCTCTCTGAAGGCTCTGATGTGTAAGTCCCCACCTGAACACTTACTGAATGTTCTTTATATGTGGTAGCATTTCTGGCAATGATGCCTCACTTAGACCTCAATAATATTGTAATCAAGGCATTTGCCCACTTAGTTTGTTTCCTTAGCTCACTCTAATGTTTTAAAATGTTTAACCCATCATTAGCGTACCTCCATGGACATGAAGTGTCCATTCTTCACCAGGTTGTTGCCTGTCCGCTGCATATCTTCGTATTTTAGCCACTGCTTCTCTATTTCACGCTTATACTCTTCATGTTGCTTGATTAGAAGCTCAGCGCCAAGAACATCATTTGCTATTTCCTCAGAGATCACCAGTGCATGCATCTCATTGGCCCAAACCCTATGGAAAGGAATCAGAAGGAGTCAGTGAACATTGGAAGCTGCTGAGGATAAAATGGAACCACTCACAAATACTCAGAGACATCTACAAGCTTATACATCCACACTGAGAGAGGCATAGATGAACAAGCCTTTATTTACATACTAGGATAAAAATGTAACTGTGTAACTGCTAAAAATCCTTGTGGTTATATGCGCTATGGGGTGGGAGTGGGACTGGCTGGGGACGCTGCCGGTTCTGCTCGCCAATGACAGGGGCTGCTCCGGTGGGCCCCATGGGGCTGGAGCAGCCCCCTGCCCAGGGCAGGCAGGGAGCCGTTCCAATCCCTACTGGTTAACCAGCTAACTGGTTAACTTTTTATATCCCTATTACATACTAGGGTCACACATATGCACAAACTCTGGTAATTACCCCACATTCATATTCACAGTTATACACACTCAAGGGTCATACTCTAGCACAGAAACATACATTCAGATATACACTCGTCCCATCAATATTTACATTATATTTATAGGAAAAAACATGATACACATTCAAAAGAGAGAAGGGAATCATGCAACTACATGCACTGAGGAATATCTACTGGATACAGTCACAATGCTTTTATGCTGTGGGCATTTATATCCACACTTAAAAGTGTCACATCCTGCCATGCACAAGAATAGTTAACAGACGTACAGGGAGTACAGCCATGAAATGGTATTCCCATACAGAATGAGGCAAAAGTGCAGATCTACATGAACACAATCTCAAGTGATATAAAACAAGGTAGCTCCATTCATCTCAGGGGAGCTGCAGAGGAGCTAACTCACAGGAGGATATCCTCACCTGCATAGTCTCAGTCGCACAATTCCTAAACCAAACCCACATTTCTATTCATGAGAAAATACTCATTGTACTTAAGAGAGCTGTTCAAACATTTTCTGATGAAACATTTTTCATGAAAAATGCCATTTCACTGAAATAGAAGCATTCTACAGGAACAGGTAGATGTTGAAAAACACTGCTTTAGAAAAAAACCACAATGCAGCATTTTGATTTATTTTAAATTTATTTTATAATATAAACAATAAGAACACCCAAAACTAAAATGAAATGTTTTGATTTCACCAACTCTAAGTTGCCCATTGATCCCCAAAGAGAATTGTTCTCACTTCATGGGAAATTTCAAAATTCCATGTTTTGCAAAATAGAAATTCCAGAACCCACGCAGCTCTTTTATTTGTGCAGAAGGGTAACAACATGCACATTTAAGCAATATTATTTGTATTATACCTCTCCCTGCTCTCCCACAAAGTGCTTGAAATAGCTGTGTGAGGATATCCTGTGAAAAGGCTGGGCTGACTCATATGTGTGAGCAATGGTGTCTGTCCTAGTCTCTCCTAGGGGGAGAGCACTGGCCTCTACTGCTGGGCTGGCATGCAGCACCCATCGAGCTGCCGCAGCATAACCCCACTGCCGAGCCAGCACACACATGCTGCCCCAACTGGGTTGCTGGGCTGCCCCTTCCCCATTACCGGAGACAAAGCCACGTGGCCCAAGCCCAAGCCCCAATTGCCCAGGAACAGTGCTCACCCCAGTCCTGGCCCCATGGCCAGAGGAGCAACCCATGTGGCCCAAGTCCTGGACTCAGCCAATGGAGGAGCTTGCTCAGCTCAGCCCCCATGTGCCTACCACCACCACTACCAGCAGCTCACCTGCTTCCACTGGCTCACTGCTGTTTCCTCTGGCTCACTGCTGCAATGGAGTTGGGTGGGCAGAGAAGGGGGAGAGCACTGGCCGCTGGCACACAGCCCACTCTGCAGCCTTCCCGCTTGCCCCCTGGAGCTGGTGATGTGGCAGTGCGCCAGCCATTAGGCTCAAGCGGCAGCGCAGGCTCCCCAGTGTGTGGGGGAGGAGAGGCATGCCATTGAAAATTGGTTCGTGTGCCAGTTATGGTGCAAGTGCCATAGGTTGCTGACGCCTGATCTACATTGTCCAAAATTTGTCAAATCAGTAACACTCTGCTGAAATAGAGTGGCATGGTCCCAGGTCTTAGATACATACAATATATGACAGGCTCCAGAAACAACCCTATCAGTTTGAACCTAAGCATCTGTTCTTCTCTACAGTGGGGTCAGATCTGGCCACTGGAGCTGAAAAGAAGCTTTGCATTACAGTTATCATATGAGGGGAGCTATAAGCAAGTTGCAGAGAGACAGGGGCAGGGATGGCCTGTGACTGCTAATTTAGAAGACAGCACTGGAAAAAACAAAAATAACACTCCACTGACAAAGGTCCCTACACTTACATCAGCTCCCTGCAGTCATTGAAGTAGACCTGAATCTGTTCTGCCTGTCTCAGTCTCTCTTTCCTCTCCAGAGACTTCCTGTTCAGTTTCTCCCAGCATTCATCCACCTCTGTGAGTCTCTCCATTATGTTCTCGCTGGCCTGAGGGTAGAGCCGGCTGAGACGCCGAGCCTCCTTTTGGATCCGCTCCAGCTCTTTCACAATGGCTGCAAGGTCTCTCTGGAACACAGAAGCAATTGATCACAAGACCAAATTGAGAGCGTTAGGTTCTGTTTCAGCATGGACACTGCAAGGAAATAATACTGAAAGCAGATCTCAGACTGTTCTTGACCTTTTGGCTCCTTTCACCCAATTGATCTCTCAGAGTGAGAAATAACTTCATTGCTTTTCCTTCTGCCAGTTACCTTCTAGGATTCACATACATTCACCATTGAACAAGCTTGTTTAGAGCCATCATGAAGGACACTGCAGTAAGGCAAGTCTCTCACCTGTTGGGCCAGCAAAAAATACTCATCACCAATTTCTCACCCCACAAAAGAAACACCAATCCAGGAACCTATTCCTGGAACAATACCCGTTGCCAACTCTGTTCACATATCTAACCTAGTGACACCATCACAGGACCTAACCAAATCAGTTATACCATCAAAGACTCACTCACATGCATATCTGCTAAAGTGATATTTGCCACTGTGTGCCAACAATGCTCCTCTGACATGTACATTGGACAAACCGGACTGTCTCTACGCAAAGGAATAAATGGATACAAATCAGATGTTAAGAATGGCAACAGCCAAAAGCCTGTGGGGGAGCATTTTAATCTCCTTGGGCACACAGTTTTGATTTACAAGCTGCCATTCGCAGACAGAACATCGTCAAAAACAGACTGCAGAGAGAAACTGCTGAGCTGGAATTCATATGCAAATTTGATACCCTGAACCAAGGACTAAACAAACACAGGGAGTGGTTTTTGAATTACAATATGTAATTTCTCATTGAAGTACTCTCAACTTCTCACCACTGTTGAAGATGAGTCAAGTCTATTCTGATTTAATTAGTATGGATGTTACAATCCCCTCTCTGTATCCTTTTTTTCCTTCTGTCTTTTCTCTTCAGCATCTGAGGAAGCGAGCTGCAGTTCACAAAAGCGTATGCTCGAACACCCTCATAAATTAGTCTTTAAAGTGCCACCAGACTTCTTGTTGAATTTCTAATACAAATGATGAATTGGGGAGTGTTTGGGAAGAGTAAGTTGGTTTGTAAGGCAGACCAGTGATGCTGGGGCTGGCTTTGAAGGATGAGGGAAGGAATAGGGTGAGGATTAAAGAGAGAGAAAAAGACAAGAAAACGAGTGTGCAGCAATTCCCAGCAGAACACTTACTTTCCAAAATGTAGTCTTTTATTTTTGTTTTGAGGAAGTCCTGCCTGTTCAGAACACCCCCCAATATTTCTTCCCTGTTACCACTGCAGCACCCCAGTGGGAGTTTTAGGAATCATCTGAATTCTCATGCTTTCTAGCTCCTTTGTTTTAACCTCTCCTTCATCTGTCCTAATCATTGTAGACACCTACTGCCAGCCGGCAGAGATGTCTGCTCCCAGTCCAGAGCCAGTCAACCTCATTTAAGTAGAAATATATGGAATTTGGGTACAGCAAAATCTAGGCTCACCATTCTCCCTGAGGCTGAGAGTTATTTCCACAGGACTAATACTTCCTGTTGGCCATAGGAACCAGCAGTCACATCCTGGAATTCAACACAGGCCTTTTAAATGGCAACAAAATATCAGACTCTTTTCCAGCAATGAGCTGGCAGTCTCAGCAGAGTCCAGTCACTGGTATTAGTGTTAGAGACTCTGCATCCATTTCAAACTATGGCTTTAAAATTCCACTCCAAGTTCAAATAATTGTAGTTTTGAAGTCCGTTAGGAGAAGTGAAAAATACCGCAAATAGTAATAATATTGTTTCAGGCTGGTAGGCCTCTTGCATGTGGCACCATGGACATTGCAGTAATGGATCAAACACATTATTCATATGTGTAAACAGAGCAGCCCAACATATTAATAAGCCAGGCATATATCTCTTGGTTTTATTCATTTATATTTTCAAGGCTGTCTCACTTACCTCCACTCCTTCATGCTGGCCTAGGAGGGTTTGCACACCTGGCAGGTCATATCCATAATCGTCTATATCCACCACTGCCTCTTTCTCCTGCATCCACCCTTTTAGCTCATCCACATCATGGTCATACTTGTGAACCTGCAAAGCTGCTCTTAAATTCTGGGGAAAAAAAAGATAAAGATTCACTAGCAGCAGCATCCTTAGAACACAACACTGCAGCACACCCGTTGTGCAAGGAGACACTCTGTTCCGATGCAAGGGAGCCTAAAGTGACACACTGTACCAGTTGTGCAAGGAGACACTCTGCTCTGATGCAAGGGAGCCTAAAGTGACACACTGATGTACAATATGGGGCTTCGGAGCTCTACAGAGGCACATGGTTAAAAATATCATAATGAAAATTTACATTTATTCCAAGATCAATAAACCATTTTTAAACAGATAAAGCTGATAAGATAAGCCATGTCATTTAAACCCACATGATTAACAAGGAAATTAATAGTTAAGGGCACATCATACATTTCACTTTGCGCACATACCAAAGACAAATACTTGGGTAAAGTCATGGGCCCTCTTCTTTGTGTTACCATATTGATCTGAAGCTTCAGGATGCTTAAGGAGGCAGAATATGTTGGTACTGGCCAGGAGATTGGACCTAAAACTCATTCTAACGAAAAGCGATAAAGGACTGACCATAGGTGATTAGATTTCAGTTTCACAGAATGGGCAAAAGGAGAGAGGGAAAGATGTTCTATATGTAATAACAGGTTACTATTAACCCATTTGCATGAAGTAGAATGCACAGGTCAGCAAAAGCTAAGGCAATATTTGAACCTGTATGCAACACCCTTTCTGCTGTTACAACAAATACTATCCGAGAACAGCAATGACACTGGCCTGATGAGTCAGAAAGGGAAGTCAGAACATTCAGGAGCTTCATGGCTCAAAGAGCATTTTCTTTCTGTACAGGTGTCCTACCTCTGTCCTTGTTTGGATGGCTTGGCATAGTCTCTCCCATGTATCATTGACCTGATGGGTCCTCTTCTGGATCTCTCCTATCTGGCTGTGGCACTCTTTCTCCAGGTGGGATGCAAATTCATTTATTGCGAACACCTTAGTATGTCCTAGAGGTTTCATCTCCTTTATAAAATCTTCAAACTTTGTCTCTAGTATCTGCAGAAAAAGGATGTGGGGGGAGGGGTGGAGGAGCAGAATTCAAATATGAAGAACCTCAAACCTGTGCTGGCCCCCATGAAGGAGGCAAAGGGAACTGATCACTTCTCTATTATGTCCTACAAAACTATCCCAGAATGTGTAAATCACTTAACAAGCCCTGATTTCCTCCTCTCATTCCCAGAAGAAAGTCCCTCCTACCATGAGGAATCAACATCTTATGTCACACAGAGAAGATCACCTACTTCCTTAATGGCCTGATACATCACCAAGAGCAAGAAGCCAACAACAGGAAAGGAAAAGAAACAATTCAGCCTCTTCACACACCCACATGCAAAGGTTGTTGAACGTATACATTCAATGAACCAAATCCTGTGTGTTACAAATTACCCCCCTCTGTCTGTATCAGTCTCTTCAAAGGGGATTAGTGCTGGGATAAACAATTAGAGGTATGGATGCTCAGGGGGGCTGACAGACTTGCCAGGCCCATGGGCAAGGTGGGGGAAGGCCTGAATGTGTGCTCCTAGAAGGGGCAGGCCCACAGAGGGCAGGGACAGCACTGTCCAGAGTGCACCACCCCACACCATCCTCCCTCCCAGCACTCAGAGCTGGCCGGAGCATGCGGCACATGCTCTAGCAGCACTTTAAAAGGCCAGGGACTCTGACAGCG